CAATAAGTTTGCTAACATCCTCCAAGTAATAATCATGAATGGGATACATGGCATTGGCTTTGGAATATTCAGCTACTGACAAATTCTCAAAGAAACAATTCCACTTAGATACCTCTGCAGTGGCGCTGCAAAGCACCAGTCTTAATTTTCCCGGATTACGTAGCATCACGAGCTTCATCATAAGAAGAAGTACCTCAACCTCGGTAGTACGCTCGTGAAATTCATCAAATATAACGTGTGTAATGCCAATATCATTAGGAGAATTGTGAATCAAGTGTAGAAAAAGGGTGTAATTTGTCACATACATAATTGGGGTTTCACCTAACGTTCCCACGTGTTCCCCCCGCACCCAGTAGCCTACCTTTCTTCCAACTTTCTCGCCGTACAATGCGGCGACGCGTTGTGCCAATTTAATTGCGGGCGTGCGTCTTGGTTGGGCGTTTACCACCTTGGCATCCGGCTGTCCATCGAGGATGGCCTTTGGGATGAGCGTACTTTTGCCTGTGCCTGTGTCTGTCACAACAATTGTGACGTCGTGGTCCCGAATCAGCTTTCGGCACTTTTCAACGTCAAGAGTCCCCACAACGCCAAGTGCAGTGCTCGCTTGCGCCCGAAGGTGCTCTGCACCCCCCTCGTCATCGGTTTGAAGGGCGTAAAGGCTTTTAAACTTGTGCAAAATCTCCTCATCAGAAAGGGATGGCAATATATGATTTACCGTTCCTGCGCCGTTCACTCCACAAGGACTATCCTTCCGGTTATCACCAGACCCAGTTCTGTGACCAAAGTCAGCTTCGCTTATGGGCTCCCACTTTCGTCCCATTGATTGGTTTCTGTAGATCTGCTGCTGGCGGTGGAGCCCAAAATCCCGATTGCCTCGCCGCACTCCCCCTTGTTGTTGCGATGGCTGAGGCAATGAATGCGCCACTGCTTTCGAGTCTACCCATTGCTCGCCCAACGGCAAAATTCCCTCTTGCGTCATTATTGACTGCTGCTGTCTCAGCTGTCGCTGATGCTGCTGTAATTGAGCTGACTGCTGCTGCTGATTGAACTGCGGCCGGCTTACGTGGTGCAGTGAAGAAACCGGATCATGCGTCCTTTGCTGCTGCTGCTGCTGCTGCTGCTGCTGCTTCAATTTTGCCAGCTGCTGTATCACACCACGCTCATCTCCTTGCCGCTGAGAGAGGCAAAGCAAAGAGAGTTCTTGTTGCTGCAACCTCTGTTGCTGAAGAGCAATCTCCTGCTGAACCCTAAGTTTCTCCTGAGCAAGTTCTTCTTGCACCCTCTGCTGTCGCAGTAAAACACCTGGCGACACTGAATTTGTCCCTGCCTTTTTTGCCGTTTCCCAGCTGGCGCCCGATGGATCCGCCGCTCCGTATGTGTTCATGCCAACCGGTGGGGGCGGTTTTGGTGCTACCGGTGACGGCGCCCATTTTATATCGACTCCAGTGGAGTGAGCAGTGCTCAAAGGCACCGACGATGGATTGCCACGAATAAATTCTGGTGCAAAAGGAGGGACGTTAAGACCTTTCGTACCATCTATTCCCCCATGCGGCGATGACGCCTGCGCCACTTGCCGTAATGGTTTCTCTTCGTGCTGCTTCTGTAGCAAATGCTGAGATCGGCGCATAGAAGTAGAGTTGAGCGTGTACATTTGCGCAGTGCCGTGGCAACACGTGAAATTTCGACCACCTACGCCCCACACCCTGCTAATAACGTGGCCACTGGGCTCGTGTGTGGATGTGGATACCTAATTTGTATATGCGTGTAGTGCCCGCGCCACCGTTGGCTTCTCTCTCCCTCCTCTCCTTCTCTTCGGGCAGTTGTCCCTCACAATTGAAAGAGAGTGAAAGAAACACTGCCCGCGCAGTAAAAAATATGCATTAAAAAAAAAAATGTACAAAAAAAAAAAAAAAAGTGACCAAGTGCCGCAGCGGCAGTCCACAAAAAAGCATCAACAAAAAAACCCACAAAAGACGTGGGTGGAGTTAGAATGTGCAAAGAGGCATGCATTCCTCTCGTACGCGCAAATAACTTCGCCCCACGCTCCCGCCACGGCTCACAAGCATACAGCACGGGGCGGCGGCGTCAATGTGGTGGCAGAAAGTAGGGACATATTTAACCAAAGATAAAAAAAGAACACACGCGTTTGGCGTTCAAAAGATCCGCCTGGACGGCCGCCCAAATCAAGAAAATATTTATGTCCAATAGCATGGGAAAAAAAGAGGTAAATGGAGAGGCAGCGGATTCGCCACATCCTCAATGCTTGCTCCAATTAAATACATGTGGTTTCGGAAAGCCACTCTCGTGACACGGCGCAGTCTATTCAGATGGATGATGTTTATTCATCGCGAAGTGAAAAAATTTTGGGCTCTTCCAACCACAAGACCCCGCCACAAGGTGGAAATCAAAAAAGGATGAGTGAGATGACAAAACAAAAAAAGCATTCGTCTTGCCGTTATCGGTTCCTCGACTCCTTCCATCGCGGTGTTTTATAGCATTCATAACATGGGCAAGCATCGTAAATAAATATATTCGTTTTATCAAGAGAATATATTAATCCAGACAACCAGCCTCCCTCGCGATCATTCTCTCTACAAGCTCCTGGAAGCATGCCCGTTCTTTTTTTTTTTTTTTGTTTCTTTTTTTGCTTCTGCTGGTGTTTGTGTGCATCATTGATGCAATGACTACAGAACACACAGGCACACACACACACACACACACAAAAAAAAAAAAGAGTCGTATTTGACATCGGCATTAATAACTTATGTGTACTTTTTGCTTCCCCTTGTCACCTTCTCGTTGCGTTTTCAAAGAAACCTCCATAATTTGTCACAACCACTCCTTCTACCCCCCCCCCCCCGTCTGCCGTCTCTACTCTCCGCAAACAGGGCATTCATTGGGCCACAGATATTTCTTGCACAAAGTTTTCTGTGAGATGGGCAATTGCCATCGTCGCTTCTTCCGCCGTCGTCCCTTGGGCGACCATCCAGGCCAGGAAAGTAAACGAATTTGGCGGTGGCGCCACCAAAGCCCCTGGCTCGGCAGCTACTCCATAGTCAACAAGTCCCTTTCCAGATACGGGCACCTCCAGCCGCACCAAACTCCCCTCATGAAAAGGATAGATGTTTACAGAAGCACAGTAGCAACTCGGCGGAAAAAAGGCATCCTTCGCTTCATTCTCGTTGCTGCCTACCTCCTCCAGTTTCTCCGGGTAGAGGAGAAAAAGCTGCTCTCTTACTGACAACCCCAATGCACACCGCACCAGTGACTCACCCAGCTGCAGGCCACGGTAGCAGGTTCGTAGCATGCTGTTTGTCTCCGCACTCCCTAGTCGACAATTCACCTCAATTACATACGCCTGGCGTCGTTCAAAGTCATATTTTGCCTCAAAATGCAAAACACCATGAAGATCCTTGCCGTGGAGTACCACAAATTTATCCAATAGCCTCATTACTTCTCGTTGCTCGTACATTGGCAGTGCCGTGGGGCACAGTCCTCCCTCCTCAAGAAAATAAGGCGGATGGACCTCAAAGTTATCGGAGATGGAGCAGAAAACAACATTACCATTTTCTACACAACAGTCCAAATCAACTTCCTGGCCGCCAATGTACTCCTCGAACAGTATTTCCACCCTCTCCATCCCCTCCGCAGGGTTAAGGACGGCTGTCAAATGCTTCATATCACTATGCGAGGCAAAAGCATCCCACATCAAGAGCGCATGATCCCGCACGTCCTCCACACCGTAGCAGAGTTTTGCCAAGATACTCCCTGCCCCAGGGGAAGGCTTCAACACAAGAGGAAAAGTCACTCCCGCCGCTTTCAGAGTCTCTTGAATGTGCGCTACTAGTTCTACTGATGCTGTTTGGGGGCGGGTCAAAACCCCCGCTTTCGGAGACGCGATGCCTTCCCTCGCACAGTCCTCGCGAAGTAAGGACTTTACACATGTCCTTCGTAACTTTTCTGGTGGCAGTGGAATGGGACGATACCCCATGCGCTGAGACAACACAGCTGCAGGGTAGATACCGTACTCATCAAACGATATGATTGCATCCGGTAACAATTCGTGCTGCGTAAGAAAACGCCTAAGTATGGGTTCAAGTGCATCCACGTCATTTGTGTCGTGTTGCAGACGATAATGAAAGACCCCATCAAACGCATCGGCCGGCCGCACCGGGTGGACGACCACAAAAATAACGCCCTTTTCCCGGAGGTGTTTGTAGATGGGGGCTCGTGCAACACTGCTCGTTCGGAGCAGCACCACAACCTTTCCTTCCATTCTTTTTCTTTGCCTTTCCTTCCGTTCCTTTTGTAATCTTTTGTTCGCCCTCCTCCCTTCGCCGCAAACAGTCGTAACGCACACACGCACGCAGGCCTCCACCCACCCCACCGCAACCAAAAATTAAAAATTAAAAATTAGAAATTAACAAAAGAGAAGGTATCCGACGCAGCAGTGCATATCCCACCCGTGTGGGAGCCGCTCATGCCTCCGCAGTTCGATGGTAAAAAAACAAGGCAGCAGCAGCAGCAGTAGTCAAATCAAGACGGGGCGAACACACTACTCGCGCAAGCCACAAAAAAAAAAAAAAAAAAAGGAATGGCGAGAGGTAAAGCCTCATCGGGAAATATACGGCAGAAGCAGAACAGAAGAGATCAACTTTGTAAATCGTCACGTCTCCTTGTAAAGAAAAAAAAAAAAAAAAATGAACTTTCCACAAGGCAAAAGTGCAGGCGGGTAACAAACAGAGCGGAAGTTGGTGGGGGAAAGAAAACACCACTGGCATCAAAAAAAGGTAAAAGTAAAAGAGCAGAAATGTACACACAAAAACAAAAAGATAAAGAAAGAAAGAAAAAGACGCACAGCATGGTTCTAGAACTAATTGAAACTGAGATCATGCGTGTGTCTCTGTAGTGTATTCCCTAGAAACCAAGAAGAACGGTTGCTTCTACGCAGTCCTCTACCTTCACTTCCTCTCTCCCACTTGCCAATATATACATTAACCAAAGATAGTCCACACAACCACTAAAAAAAAAAAAAAAAAAAAAGAGGAGAAAAAGCATCACAACTCGTCTCAATGAAACAATGTCCTATTGCACATCCTTCCTTCTCCCCCGCCCCTCCACATTTCATGTTATCTTCCGCCGTTTTCCCTTGAAAATTTTCTTCTCCTGCCCATATAATTCCGGGGCAACCACGTTGCGTATCCCGCACATCACCTCAAGTGCCCCACGCATAAATCCATCAAAAACCAGTGAAGCCGCCAGCGGTAAACGCACAGGACTTCCGTGTGGCCCCAAGCAATAGGCGGCAACGTTAGAGGCCAAGCGAAGTCCTTGAAGAAGCTCCGCAAAGCCACGCTTCAAACCCTCCAAAAGACTCACCGGCTGCGACCCACGCGACACGGGCGACAATTCACTCACTGGCAACACGGAAGTAATCACGGAGGAGGTCGTGTTATGTGCCCGTCGCGAAACCGCCACCGCGCTGTTGAGTGATTGAGAGACAAGTGTAAAGAGAAATTTGCGAAGAGCGGCGGAAAGGGCAGAGAAAAAACGTCTGTTGCGACGATATTCATTGAGAGGAGCAAAAAGAATCTCCACGCCTGCCGTCCCAACGTTTGACGCCAACTGCAGCGGCTGCACCCCGCAAAGAAGCATGAAAAGACCATGGAAATTGAGTATCTGTTCCCGCATAAGGTCTAAAATGCGGTCCCCGACACGGTGGAGAGGGCATGCCGTGACAAGGATAAGCGGCACCTTGATCTGCGCCCGCTCAATAGAAGGCAAAAGAAAGTTGCAGAGTTCAAACATGTCCATACGAGTGGCTCGAGAGGTGTCGTGGCCCTCAAAATAGACGTAGAGTATCAGTTGCACTGGAAATACGACAATCTTACTGAAGAAAAGTGTCTGAGACTGCACGTCATCCGAAGCAATACTTTCGTTGGAAAGAGTTTCCGGGTCTTCAATAAATTTAGACAACAAATTCATGGCACGTCGGTGCACGGCAACAGTGACTGGCTGCAACCGCACAATAAGCTGCTCCTCCGGTTTCCCTACAACAACCATCCCGGCATTCATTGAAGAAGACCGCGGTACAACTGTCGTCCACTTCATCTCAAACAAATCGCCATCATGGTCACGTAGAGATGGCGGAAGGGATGCCATAAATAGCGTGCGAACAGAACTCTTCTCGATGCAATCCACCACTTCTCCGTCCCGCACGGACAAATACACCTGCAATAAGTTCGCCTTTCCGGGAACAAACAAATCCACTTGAAGTCGGATACCAGTGAAGCGGCCAACAACGTACTCGTCCTGTCTTCGCCCAACGCCAAGGAATCCGCTTCGTCGTCCCTCGCGTCTTCCCTGGTGAAGCTCCACGTCTGAGTCCATCCCACTCCACAGCACGGAGGGCTCCTGCACCTCCTCCTCCATGTTACCAAAGCGCTGTATGGTGTGGAGGTAACTTTGAGGCACATCAAAGTGAATGAAATCCTCTCCACCATACAAATGTGCAATAACGTCACAGTCATAGAGGTGAATCTCCATCGACACCAAGTTGTTTGGCGGCAATGGGCGCGGGACACACCTCCGGTTCTGTGCATATTCCGATGATGCGCCACACCAGGCCCCGTATATGGATAAGAAATTCGTATATTTGGATCGCCCTATCAAATTTATAGAATCATTCTCAGAAGTCTCCCAGACAGGCGCAATTGAGGCTTCAAGCTCAGCACTTTCAATAATATCAAAATCCTCCAAGGAATTTGTCGCAAGGCTTCTTTTTGGCAAACCCGCCTTCGACGCCACTTCGCCTCCGGCCGCAACAACACTAGAAGCAAGCCCAATATTCAACACGGACGTTTCAAGCAGCTGATGAAGACGAGGCACATAATCAGGCACGCGGTGACAAGCGAAGGCCGCATGTTTTCCCTTATTGACGCAATTGGATTGAATGATGCACTCGAATCTTGACCCACTCCGTTCCACAAGCAGATGAGGTGAGGGCAAATAGGCAAGATCATTGCCGCCCAAAAAGTGTGAGATCACCGTTCGAAAATGATACAGGGAGTCGTATGCAAAGAACATAGAGGCACGAAGTTTCTGCACCTCCAAAAACACCGGCTTCTCGGCCGTGGGATTAATAAACAGTGTGATGTTAGACACATCGCTCCTACTTGCGACAATATCCTTCTCATCATCGGTACCACTGTTCTTACCACCTGCAGACTGAGCGACATCCAACACCAGAACAAAGCCAATATTGCTTAAGATCTGTAGCCACGCCTCGTTCGCTGCTACCAAACAGAGAACCAAGCCCTGCCTCTTGGTCATATTCCAGCAAGTATTGCTGAGAATTATCATGAACGAACACAGAAAGATCTCTTTATC